ATATTACAGTTGTTTTTAAATAAAAAAATTTATTTATTCATGCTTCTACAAATTGCTTCTTTTATGATATTCAAGTTTTATCAATATAATTGATAATGTCAGATTTGCTATCATAAGTGAAACAAAATTCTTTCTAATTTGAATTAAATTTATCTTTAGTTTTTAATTTAACAACACTATTCCATTTTGTGAGAAAAGTATTTCATCTATTATCTTCTTTGTTTATTTTTTTGGGAATTGTGGCTTGCAATTCTTCAAGATATTTTTACTAATATGTCATATATATAACAAGTTAGTTGTATTAGGAAAGATTACTTTGAGAGTATCTATAAGAGCCAACTCTCCGTTTGTTACAATAATACTAGATTTTGATATTTCATTAAAGAAATGAACAACATTATTCAGAGCCTATCAATAGTTCTCTTTTTTCTTATCTTTTATAAAAATAAAAGATAAATAAAAGATAGTAAAAAAACTAATTATGCCAATCATGTTTAATAAAGACATTCTGAATTTATTTGTTTTGTAAGTGCAATTCATTATAAGTACAAAGTAATAATAATGAGTTAGTATAACAGATTCTTCATATGCAAAGAAAAGATGAATAATATATTTATTAATATTATATTTATATTTATATACAAAATTACCTTTTTTGAGATTATTTATTAATGCTTATATAGAAGTACAATCTGCTAAATTTTGCTTACAAAGATTTCCATATGCATTGTAAATATTTTTGCTAATTATTAGTATTGATTCATTATTTTGTTTAAGTATTGAAACAATTTTTTAAAGACATGAACTGGCAATAGTCATTTTTTTGACTTTTTCTAACTGTTGTTTTGTAAGTCTGTGAGAAATTGAATGTTTTGACATACTTTCTAATCATTCATAATTGTGCTCTGTATTATAAACTTCTATATTCCACAAACCATCATGTTAAAAAACATAAAGTTCAAATGAACAAACAATTAAATAGCTTTCTGTTTGTCTAGAATATGCTTGTGAGTTGTAAATGCCATCTTTGTTACAATGCAATAATATATTTTTCAATTTTTTATTAAGATCTTTGCATGTTCTTTTCTTAATCAATATATAACCTTGTGAGTTAACAAATCTTTGAATGCTTTGAAAAAGTTCGTCAGCACTATTGTATATTTCCAAAGGTAGTGGAAGCATTATTGAATTGTTACATAATTTTAGAGCTAAGATAAGTAATGTTTTAGAATTGTTAATTTTTAATAATTAAATTTAATATACTTTTATTAACAACTTGAATATAATTATTATAGAAAGTAACAATTAAATATAAGGTGATTTGGATTCTTACATAATAGAGAATATGAAAAGATATTTATAAAAAATTCAATACTTAAAACACTATTCTGCTGCAAAGCAAAATATTGTTCTTTTATAACTTTGACAAAAAAGTATTATTAAAAGTTTTGAGAATTTTCTGTATTGTTTTCTTATAGCTTTTTACTAATATTTTTATTACATAATCTGCTTATTATTAAGTATTTTTACTAAATAAAACATTCTTGTAATAGTAGATGCAGTTAGAAAATAAGATTGTTTATCTTTACTTTGCTTACTATTGGTTTACTAATTTATTTTTCCTTTTTTTAGATAGATTTGTAATGTTTATATATTATAAAGCTTTGTTATATAATACCAATTTTATTATTTTGAAGCTTAAACATTGCACAATTATTGTCCAGAAAAACTTATATAATAATTGCAAAACTGAGAAAGAAGGCTTTAGCAAAGTGTCTAGTAAATATGCAAGCCAAATTAATTTTTTTTTATTAAAAATTTTTATATTTTATTTTATTAGTAAATCTTTAGCATTACTATTTGTAACAAATTAAAATAAAATTCGGTTAAAATGAAATTTGTATAGTGCAAAAAGACAAGCCATTAAAGATTTAAATAAGTAAGTTTTAGGAATTAAATAGAAGCACCAAATTTTATTTTAATCTGATTTTATTATGAACTATAATACTATTTATGCTAAAAATTTGAAAAGCAAACATTTTTATTAAAATTTTGTTTTATATTTTTAGCATATTAAAGAAACATTTTAACTAAATATTTCTATTTTTACTATTCATATTTTTTATTTATTGTTTGGGGCTTTATAAGTAAGTTTTTTTTCTTATATGTTTGTAATCTATTTGCTAAAACTTTACTTATTGCAATAAATAACTAATTTGTTCTATTGTTTGATATAGATCAATTGTTCAAATAACAAAACACAATGTATTATAGTGCTCTGCAATCAGTACCTGAGATATAAACTAAAATCAAGTTTTAATCTAGTACTATATGTACTAATATCTAGACAAATATTCATTTTCATTGAATATTTCTAGTCTTGTAAATCTAGTTTATTTATAAATATAATTCAGGATTTTTGTATATTAGTATTAAGAGTCTTAATCTAGTACTAAATGCAATACTATATAATAATAAAACAAAAATAACTATTTTTTAGATTTTGGATTAGATGTTAAGAAACAAAAAAAAGAAGTTTGCTGACTGTAAGATTAAGTTTTTTGTTAAAGAGTGTGTTTAAATAGAGCTTACTGATTTCTTATTTAAATAATATTTAAATAACTTAGATCAGCAAGTATTTATTCAAATATTTGCTGAATAATTAGTATTATTTGATTTTTTTTTTTTTTGGTATTAAGTTGGCCTCTTTGGTTCTAGCTTTTTATTAATACTTATATTAGGTACATGTTTTATATAGATGAATCTATAATAAACTATCAAACAAATATACAACTGGCTACATATGTAACTTTCCTATATTACCTATTTAAGAAGTCCACCTGAAGGTTCCCTATCAGTTGCCATATTTAATAATCCTGTTTAGATGTTCTATTTAAACTCTCTAATCTGACTCTAGTATTAATTTTACTAGACTACAGACTCAGATCTATTTACATTTAACCATAGGACTATAATTTTTAGACTATTTTTATCCTTAAGACAAACCTAACAGAATGAGCTGTATTCTCTTTTATTATTAATCTGGTTTGATGCTATGGCTAAAACTAACACTTGTAGTCAGGATTATCTATTAAACTACTATTATATTTGTAAAATTCATTCAAACTCTGATACCTATCTTTTTAATTTCTTCTTCATCATCTCTTACTAGCTATAACTTGAAACTAACTAACTCTTCAAACTTTTAATTCAAATAGTCTAGTATAGTATACTTATATATTCTTTTTTTTAGCAATTCTGGTAGCCTGGTTGGTTATATGCTCCTCTATATATCTTGTCATTTAGTTTATCTGACAGTTCTTATGAAGATGTTTTATGAACTTTCATCTGTTCAATGATACTATTAAAAGTTTGTGCTACTACTTTACTCAGGATTTTCAAGTGAGTTTCTGTCTCTTTAGTTTCTTAGCCTTCTATGCCTAGTGGTTTTATTATAAGTTTGTACCAAAGTCTTATACAACACCAGTTTTTTACATTCCTCTATATACATGTAACATTTTATTTTATATAAATGTTTTGAGCTCTCAATATTAGGTAGAACCTAACTTGGTATACCTAAAATTACAGATACCCAAAACCTAATCAATTAGCAAGAAACAGTTATCATAATACAGGTATAATTTCTAAAATTCATCATCTGTGGGAATTGAACCTTAGATCTGCCACTTGAGGATTGACAACCTATTTACTTTACTAAGTCATCACAACTTTACTAGTATTATTTGAATAAGTACTATTTATTCAAATAACATATAGTTTTTAGATGTGTTGCAATTAACCTTTATATGTAAAACAAACTAATAACTGAAGTTTTATACGACAAATAATAAAAATTATTCAATAAATTTTCTTATTCAAATTTGCTTATTTGAATTATTTGTTAGATAATTCTTATTCAAATATTATTCAAATAACGAATACAAATATAAATACAAATATAAAGCTCTAGTTTTGGGTTTATAGATTGTAAGTTTATATAGTTCATATATTTATTGATTTTTAAAGTTTATTTTCTTGGGGATTTTTACATTTACACTTAATAATTAATATATGATTACCAATTGATATACTGTATTAATTTTGTTATATAATTAGTAGTTTAATAATAAAGTTTGTAAATAAATTGGCAAAAATGTTTATTATACATAATATGACCTTTATGCTATTGAATTTATTAGAGTTATCTTAAATTTTTGTTAAAAATTCAATGCTTTGAATTTAGTATTTTATACATATTAGTAGTTGACTGTAGTATTTAAAAAATATGTAATTTTATTGGTTAATAATCATGTGCATATATACATGAAAACAAACCAATCAGATGAATGTGTCTAAGCTACACAAATAAGTTACATGATAATAAGGTTTATACAAAATCAGGACTTTTTGAAACTTAACATATAAAGGTATGAATATTAAAAATAAGAAGTACAAATATCAATTTCCTTTATTAAATATGGATGAAATGTATCTTATTCAATATCTTAAATAAAAAGAACCAAAAGAGTTAATTCTTAATAAAACTGACAAAATTTTCTAACTTGGGTACAAGTCAGTACAACAAGTTATATTTGATTGCACATTGTGTATATTAGATGATGTTAAACTCACTAGACTATAATGTTTTAATAATAATGTTACTATGCTTTTATAATTATTAAATAAAATCATATTTAAGTTTTGGCAAAACTGTCAAAAAACAAATATATATATATATAATATACAAATAAAAATTCTTATAAACATTTTTTTAATAAATTTAAATGGTTTTTTGCATAAATTTACAAATAAAATTTAATGTGTCAATTCATTTGACTTATAAACAATGGTAATAGAAACCCCTATATAAGATCATATCCTGTGACTGACAATGAATTTTACTGTTCCAATCTTTACTATTAATAGTACTATAAAGCAACAATTATTTTAAACTGACAATCATTGTCAGTATTAAGCCATTTAATACTACAAAAATAATTTTAAATCATACACAATCCAAGAGTGGAAATGGCAGAGAGTCCTAAGACAGTATAACCTGTAGCATAAACACCTTTGAGTGTTAACGCACTTCCAGTATCCCAAATCTTCCGGTAAAATAAACAATCAAACGTAAGTATTTAAATATATGTATTAATAAATGTGAACAATGAAACGTACCAAATGTCTGACACCGTTAAAAGTATGAAAAGTAAATGGAAAAGCTAAAGCGAATTTTCCAGCAAATTTAAGGGAAGCTGGAAGTGTGGCTATTTCAGCGATAAGTGCATCAGAATTTAATCCTAATCCTAATTGACCTTGGATAGCATATGCTATAGCACCCCCATAAAGAGCTTAAGTGGATGAATTAGGATGAATTAGATAGACAATCTATATCGTACAAAATTATTTATTAAAATTCTTACCGGTTGCCAAAGCGCCCCCAGTAATTCTGTGGAAACCGGACATATACCACGTTATTTGAGGTTGATAAATGGTCATATGAGGAGAGATAGGTCTGGCAGCACGCTGAATGTTGAGGATTTTATTATACTCATCCATATTATTTTGGACTGGCGTGGTTTTATGTAAATGACGAAAAGCGAGACCTAAAGCCGGTGAAGGACGAAAAATAGAGCTCCCTGACGAACCAGTGAAACCCCTACTAAAGGCGAATGGAAAAACATCGGGTGAAAGGTGAAGCCTTTGAAGCTTTAACAAATAGCGAAATTCTGAAAAAGGCCGAGCTACGTTGGTAAATGAAAGCATTTTTAACGATGTTGTGACTTATATGATACTGTTTTATCTTTTCGATTTACATTCATGATTTGATTTAATTGGTTGATAAACACGAGACATCTTTATGTAATGCGAAAAAGAATACTTGCGTAACAATTTATCTTGCTCGTGTTTTGTTGGAATTACCATTGATATAACCACATGTCGATAACGATAAGGACACTGAAGGGAGCGTAAATAATAACGTTCCACTCCTTCGTGATCTCCAATAGTTTGCAATCGGAATGGTTTTTCAATGGACATTCGACTTCACGATCGCAGGATTAAAATTGTAATGAAACTTCAAATGATGATATATCTAAGTAACGCATGATTGTGAGGATATTATTTGCAAAAAAACGGAATTCGAAACCCTTTATTTACAATAAGGGTGTTTTGAATTTTGAAGATATTGAACAGAAATCTGATGAAGTTTCGGTTTTCTCCTCTATATACGAAACTCAATAAAAAACAATGGATTTATCTAATAAATAGACCTATCATTCTTTTGCTGTGAGATTTTTCATGTTCATTCTTCAATAACTTGATTACACGCATATTATGTTTTTGTTCTTTGTCTTTTATAATTTTATTTATTGTCATTCTTTTTTTTAACATATTCAATCTAGGATATTGGATATACTGAAATATTTAAGTGTTGTGTGTACAATTAACGGCTAAAAGCTTTGTTTAGTGTGATGCTAAATGGCAAAAAGTATCATATGAGTTTAGGCATTTATAGGGATTTTTCATAGAACATGCATTTAGGGAGACCTGAGTTACTTGACAAATAGTTTAAAATAAATAGTTCATAACAAACGAAAGAAAAAATATTATATGAGTGCCGTTAAGGGAAAATCGAAATTTTGGCTTTCAATTACCGTATCGTCGCCCCGGGGCGTTATTTAGGGACATTTTGCTTGAAGAGAGCTAATAATTAATTTATCCGAAGACTTTTAATAACCAAAAATTATGATTTTCATTCGTTTAAATTAATAATTACCTCTTTTCAAGCACTGCGTCTCGAAATAACGCCCCGGGACGTTATTTCGCGATGATACGGTATATTTTGTGTTCAGTTTATTTTCTGAGTATCGTCTTTATTTCTCAACTGTTAGATTTATTAAAAAACATGCTACTACTCCATAATCTACATTAGTTGTCTTTTTTGTCTGATATTTTAATATGTATATATGTCTTAGTTTCAGGTAAAATAAATTGTTTATATTTCCCAAATTTTGCAGAATTCTAAGATCAGGTGTAACGTACAGTCGGCTCCAAAAGTATATCACGGTTACACAAAAAAACATAATAAAAAAAAACATAACAAAAATTTATGC